AGCAAGCAACTGAAGCAAGTGCAATTATGGAGGGTGGAGATTTGGATTATTTCATAAAAAATAATTTTACTAAACTTCCGCTACTACAGCAGCAACTCAAAATGAAATCTGATGACAGGCCAATGCCCAAACTGGAGCTGTGTACAGAGAGGAAAAAAGGAGCGAATCAGACGTAAAACTTTAAATAATAAACAGCGGATTTCTAACATTTGACATTTCATGTGGCCGGACTGGGTCAGTTTCCAGGGCTGAATTTTAGTCCCAGTCCGCCCCTGACTGTAACTAAACTAAATGTTGTATATATCTAATAATTGAAAGGTGATATAGCCTAGAAAGTTAATATAAATGTTTTTTATTAGTAATAAAAATCATTTATATTAACTTTCTAGGCTATATCACCCACCCAGCTTCAAGCTGAAATACATTCATATTGTAACTTTGAATGTAGCTAATTAAAGTTATTCTGAAGTACTTTAATTTAGCATTATTTCCATCAGATGTGCAATATTATATGTTCAAACAGTAAACAGACATTTGCTTAATATATATAATATTATATACACTTCACATAGGCCTATGCCTCAATAAAGCACATATTAACTGACATGAGGGCCGAAAGGTGGGTCTTGATTTGTTACTGGACCTGTCTCGTCTTGAGGAGGTTTTCAGACTTTGATTACACGTTTCATGTTCCTTCATTTATGATTTTTATCCAACAACCACATCCATCTTTGGCAAGTTAATCTTCCAGCACATAAAACTAGTAATAACACATTTGATTTTTATACCACGACATGACAAAATACTTGAAAAAGGTCCATCCTGCATGTACTTGTAGAGCCTCATCCTAACATGAGTGTGTGTTGTTGCAGGGTCGAGTGCCCGTCCTCCCGCAGGACAACCAGACAGGAAGGAGAGTCTCTGCCCGCCAGAGGAGGCCTGCAGTCTGCAGACAGTGTCCCTGCTGCAGGGACGACCAGGTGAGACATCTGATCCCCAACTCTGTTCCTTGAAATTGTACACAGTTTAATCCACAAGATTATTTGACAGGTTTACAAAAAGGCAAACACATAGTGGAATATATTCAATACTAACTTGTTTGAGACTAGACAAGGTCCATTGTACAGGACTAATGCCCCAAATACTCACATTTCAAGTAATCCTCTGCAGTGCATCTGATGTAGATGTTTCCTCTTGTAAAATGATAAAAGTATTTTGTTAAGTAAGAAGTTTACTAGAGTCTGACATCCTCTCGTGTTTTGCTGACCTTCTCCAGGTGCCACATACAAAGCGCAGGCGCCCTGCTGCTTCTGCAGACCTTCCCCAGAAAAGGAAGCAGACCTCCGCTGCTCTTCCTCCTAAACCTGCTGACCTGCCACCTGTCTCTAATGTGGCCCCCAGCCCCCGGACCTCCACTGCTCCTCTGCACCTCGACAACCCTATCAGGATCCACAATCGCTCAGTCGAGGAGTACCAGCTCATCTACCATGAAGTTGTGGATAACATGCTGAGGTACGTTGTGTCACAAATAAAATGAGTCAGTTCATTTACAGAGTTTAGACTCTCTTAGAAATCTATCTCTATTTTCCTTCATCATAAAGATTTATTTTGTGTTTCTCCTCTCAGGTTCCCGAACGGTCTCCTGCGTCCATATAGTTTGGGTCTGGGTCGTCGTATCAAGCAGAAGCTGTGGGAGCGACTGGACCGTCCGATGTTCACAGAGACAGTGGATGAAGACGGTCTGGTCCATGTGGACGTGTCCTACGGTGCTGGAGTCCAGCCTCCGCTCTTCAACGTGGATGTTTCTGGTGAACCAGAGCCCGAATATCCACCAGCAAAAAGGGCAAAGCACTAAGACACACTCTCATAAGCTGACATGTCTAAATAACACTGTGCTTTAAGTTTAGTTTAGTTTTTTTAAGTTTCATTTGAGTAGTTTTAAGTTTTAAGTATGGTAGTTAAGTTTAAGTTTATTAAGTGTAGAGTTAAGTCTTTAGTGCCAAGCATAAGTATTAAGTGTTAAGTCTTTAGTTTTAAGTATTTAGTCATAAGTATAACTATAAAGTGTTAAGAGTAAGTGTTTAGTTTAAGTTTTTAGTTAAAGTATTTTGTTTGAAGTATTTAGTATTAAGTGTACGTTTTTACTGCTAAGTATAAGTATTAAGTGTTTAGTTTAAGTATTTAGTAATAAGTTTAAGAATGTAGTGTTAAGAATAAGTATTTAGTGTTAAGAGTTAGTATTTAGTTTGAGATAAGTTTACTTTCATTGATCTTAATGTATCTCACCACTGATTAATTGTCTTCCTCTGAATCAGTTCATGCTCCTCTGTTAACAGTCTTCTCAATCAGCTTCAGCCTCAACAGCAACAGTTATCACCTGCCAGAACACCTGCTCCACCCTCCAGCCTCCACCTGTTACTTCTACCAGACAAAACATCAGCCTTGCTCTGCAGCCTGTGAGATGACAGACTCCTCTCCACCTGCAGCCTCTGTCAGCAACCTGCAGCCATCTCCTCCAACTGCACATTCTGTTGAATAGCTGATGGCTAAACCTCCATCTACAGCCTTTGCCAGTGCACCTGTGCCTACACCTCTCGAAGTGAACTGCTATCCGAGCCTCCACCTACAGCCTCTATAAGGAAACCTGCACAGATGTTATCCTACTGCCATTTGGAGACCTGAGTGGAACAGCAAGGACCAGAGAAACACGCGCAGATATAGTCCTTCAGTTAATATGCAAAAATATTTCTGTGTTATTAAAGCTGGCTTTCTGTTTACATTCTGTTCATTTGTTCTTCTTCTCACAGGTGTTTTCAAACGTTGTGTGAAAGACTGAGCACACACTCCTCAACATGAACCTGACTGACTGTGATGATGCCTTCGGATCAGGGGGGCACTGGTTCAATCCCCACTGCAGTCAGCATGTCGTTGTGTCCCTGGGCTTCACCCCAAATAGCTCCTGTGAGGATTGTCTACAGTATTGAGTGTATGTAAGTCGCTTTAAGGTAAAAGCAACTAACAAGTGACATGTAGAGGTCAGTGGCAGGGTCATTTTTTGATCATGGGGCATCACCCTTGTACAGCATCAGGACAATATCTCTATGGAGTCAGACACTGAAAGTGTGCTGGAGGCTGATGCGTTGACTGGGACAGATGGAAAGATGAGGCTGATGAGACTGATCTGCGAGGAACGAACTAGGGGCAGAGAAATAATCATATTTTAACCCTTTAATTGCCAGACCAAGAAGAAATCTATGGACAAATTATTTCTTTGCATTTTGTTATCAAATAGGACAAATAACCACAAACCATTTTAATTTTTTTTACTGACCACACAGTTTTGTTTTTATGAGCCTCTACCAACTGGTCGAGCTGGCCTTGGCAAAAGTGCATTTTCAACAATCATCATATAGTACAGTATTTGTATGCATCAAACTCAAAAACACAAACACATTTTTTCTTTTATGGAAGATGAGCAATATATACAACCAGATATATTCATAAAAATTAATAAATTATAATTGTAAAACAAAAAAGAAATGGAAAAAAGTAATGGAAAGTGTTTTTCATTATAAAAAGTTTGGCCTAACAACAAACAACTGGCCTAACAGCAAATGTCTATATCCTGTGTTGGCCTAACTTGCTCATGTGTGTGCAACTTTGGGCTGCATTTCATGCATGAAAGGTGCTATATAAGTTATTATCGCTCTTTCACTCTGAGACTCATAAGGCAGTACTAGATTTAGTAATATTACCATGAATCTAGCCATTTATTTACCATATTTTATTGGAAAACATCTCTGAAACTCTGAAAAAGTCGTATTGCTAGTTTACAATATGAAGGCCAATTCGACCGATTGGTTGAGCATATTTTCAAAAAATTAATTACACCCTTGTTACAAAAATGTTTTGTGCATCAAGTTATATAATAATGTTCAGTCAGTGCTCTGACACTAAGATATGTCAAAAATGATATGGTTACCTTACAAAAGTTGACCAAAAAGAGTGATTTCTTCAGGAGTGATTTTTAGCATGCCAACTTTCTCAGTGGAAGCTAGCTGAAGGGCATTCTGTTCGAACCACAGTGACATCTAGAGGTTGTTTTGTGCATAACATGTCAACCAAACGATAGAGCTGGCTGAATCAGAAGGAGTTACACTTTTTTATTTATTTTTCAACAAGATATCAAAACACAAAATGTGCTCTACCAAATGGTGGCGCTGGCTGTTAAAGGTTAAGACAGCATCATCATAAGAGGCCAACAAGAGTGACAGGGTGTGTCACTTTGCTGAAGGATAGACCAGCTATGCAGGATATTCTCTGAAGATTTCCCAATGGGTAAAAGCTGCTGCTGGAGTACTGACTGGAAGTAGTGCTGATATCATGTCTACCATATCCTCTTAAAATACTCTGTCCAACAATATAAGTCGAATGACACATTTTTATAGTCAAACAGTATCACTCTCATTAAGAATTTATGGCAGAACATCATTTTATCTCTCATCAAAGATAGCAGAAAACATGCATTATTGTACTCAAGAGGGGAGTTTGACAGAGTACACAGTAAAAGTACTCTGAATAGTATTTATCAATCCTCAACCTCCAAGCTATTTTAATATAGATTTGAAGAAAACAACCTCGATGCTGACTTGACCACGCAAACGGGAAATACGGCCGCATCAATTCAGCAGTGTCAGTAACATCAAACAGAGAGAAACTCTACTTTATAAGATAGGGATTCATGGCTGACAGTGCCAGACAGACAGACCAACAGACCGACAGACGCGCGCACACATACGCACCCACACACGGACAGACTGTCTTCTGTATGTTTTGCATGTAGCCATATATTCAATGTATATTCGTGCAAACACGCACTGCAAAGAGTATGAACCTTTATTTTGAAGAGTACAGCGCAAGCATAGGGCAAACTAGCCAATCAGAAGCAAGGAGGCACTGGCGTCCCACCCACCTATGGAAACAAAACATTGAGTGGTATACTTGTTTTAACAGTAAGAAACAGAAAAACTAAAAAACGAGCTGAATTTCCGTTTTTTCGTTTTGGGGCATACCTTGGTCCTCAACTTGCTGTATTTGAGTAATGATCAGACTAACAACAACATCAACAGGTAGGCCTAGACCACTAATAGTTCAATAACAAGTGCTTTCATTATTTTTTCCAAACGATAAACCATTTATCGAATAGATATTGTCTCTGCTGCACATTGTGATTTATTTCTAAGCTAGCAAACTGAAAGCTGTGTGTAATACATTTCCAGTTTAATACCAGTTATACAGATTCATATTTATATTATCTTTATCTCAGGCTGATAGTAAACTTTATATTAGAGCAGGTGAAACGTGAGTGCGTGCACAAAATGGACGTAGAGGATTCCATGGTTGCTATGGTTTGACGCAGGACTAGCGTCAATATCGGATCAATATTTAAACCATAACAACCTGAAAACTACCTGAAGACGGTCACGAAAATATTTTCTCCGCTTTCACGCGACGATTCTTCCAAATTAGCGTTTCTACTCAAGTCTTTTTACATCCCGACAAGAGTCAGAGACCCCCTGAGAGTTATTACAGCGAGAAAACACACTTTCATTATGGAAAATGTAAGATTTCATGACTTTGAAAGTCCCCGTTGTTTCCAATGTGATTTGCCGTCGACATTTTTCAGAAACCTCACAGTTTAGTGATGTTTATCAAATCATTTAGGCTCCTGTAACGCATTAAACACTAACCATCAGATTAAGGTCAAGTTGCTATTTTGACGACTCAATTAATGAATCCATGCATTACAAACTACCAAAAATACACATGAATTCATCAAAACTATAGGCTATGACAATATTAACAAATAAATGTTGTATATATCTAATAATTGAAAGGTGATATAGCCTAGAAAGTTAATATAAATGATTTTTATTAGTAATACAAATCATTTATATTAACTTTCTAGGCTATATCACCCACCCAGCTTCAAGCTGAAATACATTCATGTTGTAACTTTGAATGTAGCTAATTAAAGTTATTCTGAAGTACTTTAACTTAGCATTATTTCCATCAGATGTGCAATATTATATGTTCAAACAGTAAACAGACATATGCTTAATATATATAATATTATATACACTTCACATAGGCCTATGCCTCAATAAAGCACAATATTAACTGACATGAGGGCCTAAAGGTGGGTCTTGATTTGTTTCCGGACCTGTCTCGTCTTGAGGAGGTTTTCAGACTTTGATTACACGTTTCATGTTCCTTCATTTATGATTTTTATCCAACAACCACATCCATCTTTGGCAAGTTAATCTTCCAGCACATAAAACTAGTAATAACACATTTGATTTGTATACCACGACATGACAAAATACTTGAAAAAGGTCCATCCTGCATGTACTTGTAGAGCCTCATCCTAACATGAGTGTGTGTTGTTGCAGGGTCGAGTGCCCGTCCTCCCGCAGGACAACCAGACAGGAAGGAGAGTCTCTGCCCGCCAGAGGAGGCCTGCAGTCTGCAGACAGTGTCCCTGCTGCAGGGACGACCAGGTGAGACATCTGATCCCCAACTCTGTTCCTTGAAATTGTACACAGTTTAATCCACAAGATTATTTGACAGGTTTACAAAAAGGCAAACACATAGTGGAATATATTCAATACTAACTTGTTTGAGACTAGACAAGGTCCATTGTACAGGACTAATGCCCCAAATACTCACATTTCAAGTAATCCTCTGCAGTGCATCTGATGTAGATGTTTCCTCTTGTAAAATGATAAAAGTATTTTGTTAAGTAAGAAGTTTACTAGAGTCTGACATCCTCTCGTGTTTTGCTGACCTTCTCCAGGTGCCACATACAAAGCGCAGGCGCCCTGCTGCTTCTGCAGACCTTCCCCAGAAAAGGAAGCAGACCTCCGCTGCTCTTCCTCCTAAACCTGCTGACCTGCCACCTGTCTCTAATGTGGCCCCCAGCCCCCGGACCTCCACTGCTCCTCTGCACCTCGACAACCCTATCAGGATCCACAATCGCTCAGTCGAGGAGTACCAGCTCATCTACCATGAAGTTGTGGATAACATGCTGAGGTACGTTGTGTCACAAATAAAATGAGTCAGTTCATTTACAGAGTTTAGACTCTCTTAGAAATCTATCTCTCTATTTTCCTTCATCATAAAGATTTATTTTGTGTTTCTCCTCTCAGGTTCCCGAACGGTCTCCTGCGTCCATATAGTTTGGGTCTGGGTCGTCGTATCAAGCAGAAGCTGTGGGAGCGACTGGACCGTCCGATGTTCACAGAGACAGTGGATGAAGACGGTCTGGTCCATGTGGACGTGTCCTACGGTGCTGGAGTCCAGCCTCCGCTCTTCAACGTGGATGTTTCTGGTGAACCAGAGCCCGAATATCCACCAGCAAAAAGGGCAAAGCACTAAGACACACTCTCATAAGCTGACATGTCTAAATAACACTGTGCTTTAAGTTTAGTTTAGTTTTTTTAAGTTTCATTTGAGTAGTTTTAAGTTTTAAGTATGGCAGTTAAGTTTAAGTTTATTAAGTGTAGAGTTAAGTCTTTAGTGCCAAGCATAAGTATTAAGTGTTAAGTCTTTAGTTTTAAGTATTTAGTCATAAGTATAACTATAAAGTGTTAAGAGTAAGTGTTTAGTTTAAGTTTTTAGTTAAAGTATTTTGTTTGAAGTATTTAGTATTAAGTGTACGTTTTTACTGCTAAGTATAAGTATTAAGTGTTTAGTTTAAGTATTTAGTAATAAGTTTAAGAATGTAGTGTTAAGAATAAGTATTTAGTGTTAAGAGTTAGTATTTAGTTTGAGATAAGTTTACTTTCATTGATCTTAATGTATCTCACCACTGATTAATTGTCTTCCTCTGAATCAGTTCATGCTCCTCTGTTAACAGTCTTCTCAATCAGCTTCAGCCTCAACAGCAACAGTTATCACCTGCCAGAACACCTGCTCCACCCTCCAGCCTCCACCTGTTACTTCTACCAGACAAAACATCAGCCTTGCTCTGCAGCCTGTGAGATGACAGACTCCTCTCCACCTGCAGCCTCTGTCAGCAACCTGCAGCCATCTCCTCCAACTGCACATTCTGTTGAATAGCTGATGGCTAAACCTCCATCTACAGCCTTTGCCAGTGCACCTGTGCCTACACCTCTCGAAGTGAACTGCTATCCGAGCCTCCACCTACAGCCTCTATAAGGAAACCTGCACAGATGTTATCCTACTGCCATTTGGAGACCTGAGTGGAACAGCAAGGACCAGAGAAACACGCGCAGATATAGTCCTTCAGTTAATATGCAAAAATATTTCTGTGTTATTAAAGCTGGCTTTCTGTTTACATTCTGTTCATTTGTTCTTCTTCTCACAGGTGTTTTCAAACGTTGTGTGAAAGACTGAGCACACACTCCTCAACATGAACCTGACTGACTGTGATGATGCCTTCGGATCAGGGGGGCACTGGTTCAATCCCCACTGCAGTCAGCATGTCGTTGTGTCCCTGGGCTTCACCCCAAATAGCTCCTGTGAGGATTGTCTACAGTATTGAGTGTATGTAAGTCGCTTTAAGGTAAAAGCAACTAACAAGTGACATATAGAGGTCAGTGGCAGGGTCATTTTTTGATCATGGGGCATCACCCTTGTACAGCATCAGGACAATATCTCTATGGAGTCAGACACTGAAAGTGTGCTGGAGGCTGATGCGTTGACTGGGACAGATGGAAAGATGAGGCTGATGAGACTGATCTGCGAGGAACGAACTAGGGGCAGAGAAATAATCATATTTTAACCCTTTAATTGCCAGACCAAGAAGAAATCTATGGACAAATTATTTCTTTGCATTTTGTTATCAAATAGGACAAATAACCACAAACCATTTTAATTTTTTTTACTGACCACACAGTTTTGTTTTTATGAGCCTCTACCAACTGGTCGAGCTGGCCTTGGCAAAAGTGCATTTTCAACAATCATCATATAGTACAGTATTTGTATGCATCAAACTCAAAAACACAAACACATTTTTTCTTTTATGGAAGATGAGCAATATATACAACCAGATATATTCATAAAAATTAATAAATTATAATTGTAAAACAAAAAAGAAATGGAAAAAAGTAATGGAAAGTGTTTTTCATTATAAAAAGTTTGGCCTAACAACAAACAACTGGCCTAACAGCAAATGTCTATATCCTGTGTTGGCCTAACTTGCTCATGTGTGTGCAACTTTGGGCTGCATTTCATGCATGAAAGGTGCTATATAAGTTATTATCGCTCTTTCACTCTGAGACTCATAAGGCAGTACTAGATTTAGTAATATTACCATGAATCTAGCCATTTATTTACCATATTTTATTGGAAAACATCTCTGAAACTCTGAAAAAGTCGTATTGCTAGTTTACAATATGAAGGCCAATTCGACCGATTGGTTGAGCATATTTTCAAAAAATTAATTACACCCTTGTTACAAAAATGTTTTGTGCATCAAGTTATATAATAATGTTCAGTCAGTGCTCTGACACTAAGATATGTCAAAAATGATATGGTTACCTTACAAAAGTTGACCAAAAAGAGTGATTTCTTCAGGAGTGATTTTTAGCATGCCAACTTTCTCAGTGGAAGCTAGCTGAAGGGCATTCTGTTCGAACCACAGTGACATCTAGAGGTTGTTTTGTGCATAACATGTCAACCAAACGATAGAGCTGGCTGAATCAGAAGGAGTTACACTTTTTTATTTATTTTTCAACAAGATATCAAAACACAAAATGTGCTCTACCAAATGGTGGCGCTGGCTGTTAAAGGTTAAGACAGCATCATCATAAGAGGCCAACAAGAGTGACAGGGTGTGTCACTTTGCTGAAGGATAGACCAGCTATGCAGGATATTCTCTGAAGATTTCCCAATGGGTAAAAGCTGCTGCTGGAGTACTGACTGGAAGTAGTGCTGATATCATGTCTACCATATCCTCTTAAAATACTCTGTCCAACAATATAAGTCGAATGACACATTTTTATAGTCAAACAGTATCACTCTCATTAAGAATTTATGGCAGAACATCATTTTATCTCTCATCAAAGATAGCAGAAAACATGCATTATTGTACTCAAGAGGGGAGTTTGACAGAGTACACAGTAAAAGTACTCTGAATAGTATTTATCAATCCTCAACCTCCAAGCTATTTTAATATAGATTTGAAGAAAACAACCTCGATGCTGACTTGACCACGCAAACGGGAAATACGGCCGCATCAATTCAGCAGTGTCAGTAACATCAAACAGAGAGATACTCTACTTTATAAGATAGGGATTCATGGCTGACAGTGCCAGACAGACAGACCAACAGACCGACAGACGCGCGCACACATACGCACCCACACACGGACAGACTGTCTTCTGTATGTTTTGCATGTAGCCATATATTCAATGTATATTCGTGCAAACACGCACTGCAAAGAGTATGAACCTTTATTTTGAAGAGTACAGCGCAAGCATAGGGCAAACTAGCCAATCAGAAGCAAGGAGGCACTGGCGTCCCACCCACCTATGGAAACGAAACATTGAGTGGTATACTTGTTTTAACAGTAAGAAACAGAAAAACTAAAAAACGAGCTGAATTTCCGTTTTTTCGTTTTGGGGCATACCTTGGTCCTCAACTTGCTGTATTTGAGTAATGATCAGACTAACAACAACATCAACAGGTAGGCCTAGACCACTAATAGTTCAATAACAAGTGCTTTCATTATTTTTTCCAAACGATAAACCATTTATCGAATAGATATTGTCTCTGCTGCACATTGTGATTTATTTCTAAGCTAGCAAACTGAAAGCTGTGTGTAATACATTTCCAGTTTAATACCAGTTATACAGATTCATATTTATATTATCTTTATCTCAGGCTGATAGTAAACTTTATATTAGAGCAGGTGAAACGTGACTGCGTGCACAACATGGACGTAGAGGATTCCATGGTTGCTATGGTTTGACGCAGGACTAGCGTCAATATCGGATCAATATTTAAACCATAACAACCTGAAAACTACCTGAAGACGGTCACGAAAATATTTTCTCCGCTTTCACGCGACGATTCTTCCAAATTAGCGTTTCTACTCAAGTCTTTTTACATCCCGACAAGAGTCAGAGACCCCCTGAGAGTTATTACAGCGAGAAAACACACTTTCATTATGGAAAATGTAAGATTTCATGACTTTGAAAGTCCCCGTTGTTTCCAATGTGATTTGCCGTCGACATTTTTCAGAAACCTCACAGTTTAGTGATGTTTATCAAATCATTTAGGCTCCTGTAACGCATTAAACACTAACCATCAGATTAAGGTCAAGTTGCTATTGTGACGACTCAATTAATGAATCCATGCATTACAAACTACCAAAAATACACATGAATTCATCAAAACTATAGGCTATGACAATATTAACAAATAAATGTTGTATATATCTAATAATTGAAAGGTGATATAGCCTAGAAAGTTAATATAAATGATTTTTATTAGTAATACAAATCATTTATATTAACTTTCTAGGCTATATCACCCACCCAGCTTCAAGCTGAAATACATTCATATTGTAACTTTGAATGTAGCTAATTAAAGTTATTCTGAAGTACTTTAACTTAGCATTATTTCCATCAGATGTGCAATATTATATGTTCAAACAGTAAACAGACATATGCTTAATATATATAATATTATATACACTTCACATAGGCCTATGCCTCAATAAAGCACAATATTAACTGACATGAGGGCCTAAAGGTGGGTCTTGATTTGTTTCCGGACCTGTCTCGTCTTGAGGAGGTTTTCAGACTTTGATTACACGTTTCATGTTCCTTCATTTATGATTTTTATCCAACAACCACATCCATCTTTGGCAAGTTAATCTTCCAGCACATAAAACTAGTAATAACACATTTGATTTTTATACCACGACATGACAAAATACTTGAAAAAGGTCCATCCTGCATGTACTTGTAGAGCCTCATCCTAACATGAGTGTGTGTTGTTGCAGGGTCGAGTGCCCGTCCTCCCGCAGGACAACCAGACAGGAAGGAGAGTCTCTGCCCGCCAGAGGAGGCCTGCAGTCTGCAGACAGTGTCCCTGCTGCAGGGACGACCAGGTGAGACATCTGATCCCCAACTCTGTTCCTTGAAATTGTACACAGTTTAATCCACAAGATTATTTGACAGGTTTACAAAAAGGCAAACACATAGTGGAATATATTCAATACTAACTTGTTTGAGACTAGACAAGGTCCATTGTACAGGACTAATGCCCCAAATACTCACATTTCAAGTAATCCTCTGCAGTGCATCTGATGTAGATGTTTCCTCTTGTAAAATGATAAAAGTATTTTGTTAAGTAAGAAGTTTACTAGAGTCTGACATCCTCTCGTGTTTTGCTGACCTTCTCCAGGTGCCACATACAAAGCGCAGGCGCCCTGCTGCTTCTGCAGACCTTCCCCAGAAAAGGAAGCAGACCTCCGCTGCTCTTCCTCCTAAACCTGCTGACCTGCCACCTGTCTCTAATGTGGCCCCCAGCCCCCGGACCTCCACTGCTCCTCTGCACCTCGACAACCCTATCAGGATCCACAATCGCTCAGTCGAGGAGTACCAGCTCATCTACCATGAAGTTGTGGATAACATGCTGAGGTACGTTGTGTCACAAATAAAATGAGTCAGTTCATTTACAGAGTTTAGACTCTCTTAGAAATCTATCTCTCTATTTTCCTTCATCATAAAGATTTATTTTGTGTTTCTCCTCTCAGGTTCCCGAACGGTCTCCTGCGTCCATATAGTTTGGGTCTGGGTCGTCGTATCAAGCAGAAGCTGTGGGAGCGACTGGACCGTCCGATGTTCACAGAGACAGTGGATGAAGACGGTCTGGTCCATGTGGACGTGTCCTACGGTGCTGGAGTCCAGCCTCCGCTCTTCAACGTGGATGTTTCTGGTGAACCAGAGCCCGAATATCCACCAGCAAAAAGGGCAAAGCACTAAGACACACTCTCATAAGCTGACATGTCTAAATAACACTGTGCTTTAAGTTTAGTTTAGTTTTTTTAAGTTTCATTTGAGTAGTTTTAAGTTTTAAGTATGGCAGTTAAGTTTAAGTTTATTAAGTGTAGAGTTAAGTCTTTAGTGCCAAGCATAAGTATTAAGTGTTAAGTCTTTAGTTTTAAGTATTTAGTCATAAGTATAACTATAAAGTGTTAAGAGTAAGTGTTTAGTTTAAGTTTTTAGTTAAAGTATTTTGTTTGAAGTATTTAGTATTAAGTGTACGTTTTTACTGCTAAGTATAAGTATTAAGTGTTTAGTTTAAGTATTTAGTAATAAGTTTAAGAATGTAGTGTTAAGAATAAGTATTTAGTGTTAAGAGTTAGTATTTAGTTTGAGATAAGTTTACTTTCATTGATCTTAATGTATCTCACCACTGATTAATTGTCTTCCTCTGAATCAGTTCATGCTCCTCTGTTAACAGTCTTCTCAATCAGCTTCAGCCTCAACAGCAACAGTTATCACCTGCCAGAACACCTGCTCCACCCTCCAGCCTCCACCTGTTACTTCTACCAGACAAAACATCAGCCTTGCTCTGCAGCCTGTGAGATGACAGACTCCTCTCCACCTGCAGCCTCTGTCAGCAACCTGCAGCCATCTCCTCCAACTGCACATTCTGTTGAATAGCTGATGGCTAAACCTCCATCTACAGCCTTTGCCAGTGCACCTGTGCCTACACCTCTCGAAGTGAACTGCTATCCGAGCCTCCACCTACAGCCTCTATAAGGAAACCTGCACAGATGTTATCCTACTGCCATTTGGAGACCTGAGTGGAACAGCAAGGACCAGAGAAACACGCGCAGATATAGTCCTTCAGTTAATATGCAAAAATATTTCTGTGTTATTAAAGCTGGCTTTCTGTTTACATTCTGTTCATTTGTTCTTCTTCTCACAGGTGTTTTCAAACGTTGTGTGAAAGACTGAGCACACACTCCTCAACATGAACCTGACTGACTGTGATGATGCCTTCGGATCAGGGGGGCACTGGTTCAATCCCCACTGCAGTCAGCATGTCGTTGTGTCCCTGGGCTTCACCCCAAATAGCTCCTGTGAGGATTGTCTACAGTATTGAGTGTATGTAAGTCGCTTTAAGGTAAAAGCAACTAACAAGTGACATATAGAGGTCAGTGGCAGGGTCATTTTTTGATCATGGGGCATCACCCTTGTACAGCATCAGGACAATATCTCTATGGAGTCAGACACTGAAAGTGTGCTGGAGGCTGATGCGTTGACTGGGACAGATGGAAAGATGAGGCTGATGAGACTGATCTGCGAGGAACGAACTAGGGGCAGAGAAATAATCATATTTTAACCCTTTAATTGCCAGACCAAGAAGAAATCTATGGACAAATTATTTCTTTGCATTTTGTTATCAAATAGGACAAATAACCACAAACCATTTTAATTTTTTTTACTGACCACACAGTTTTGTTTTTATGAGCCTCTACCAACTGGTCGAGCTGGCCTTGGCAAAAGTGCATTTTCAACAATCATCATATAGTACAGTATTTGTATGCATCAAACTCAAAAACACAAACACATTTTTTCTTTTATGGAAGATGAGCAATATATACAACCAGATATATTCATAAAAATTAATAAATTATAATTGTAAAACAAAAAAGAAATGGAAAAAAGTAATGGAAAGTGTTTTTCATTATAAAAAGTTTGGCCTAACAACAAACAACTGGCCTAACAGCAAATGTCTATATCCTGTGTTGGCCTAACTTGCTCATGTGTGTGCAACTTTGGGCTGCATTTCATGCATGAAAGGTGCTATATAAGTTATTATCGCTCTTTCACTCTGAGACTCATAAGGCAGTACTAGATTTAGTAATATTACCATGAATCTAGCCATTTATTTACCATATTTTATTGGAAAACATCTCTGAAACTCTGAAAAAGTCAGTATTGCTAGTTTACAATATGAAGGCCAATTCGACCGATTGGTTGAGCATATTTTCAAAAAATTAATTACACCCTTGTTACAAAAATGTTTTGTGCATCAAGTTATATAATAATGTTCAGTCAGTGCTCTGACACTAAGATATGTCAAAAATGATATGGTTACCTTACAAAAGTTGACCAAAAAGAGTGATTTCTTCAGGAGTGATTTTTAGCATGCCAACTTTCTCAGTGGAAGCTAGCTGAAGGGCATTCTGTTCGAACCACAGTGACATCTAGAGGTTGTTTTGTGCATAACATGTCAACCAAACGATAGAGCTGGCTGAATCAGAAGGAGTTACACTTTTTTATTTATTTTTCAACAAGATATCAAAACACAAAATGTGCTCTACCAAATGGTGGCGCTGGCTGTTAAAGGTTAAGACAGCATCATCATAAGAGGCCAACAAGAGTGACAGGGTGTGTCACTTTGCTGAAGGATAGACCAGCTATGCAGGATATTCTCTGAAGATTTCCCAATGGGTAAAAGCTGCTGCTGGAGTACTGACTGGAAGTAGTGCTGATATCATGTCTACCATATCCTCTTAAAATACTCTGTCCAACAATATAAGTCGAATGACACATTTTTATAGTCAAACAGTATCACTCTCATTAAGAATTTATGGCAGAACATCATTTTATCTCTCATCAAAGATAGCAGAAAACATGCATTATTGTACTCAAGAGGGGAGTTTGACAGAGTACACAGTAAAAGTACTCTGAATAGTATTTATCAATCCTCAACCTCCAAGCTATTTTAATATAGATTTGAAGAAAACAACCTCGATGCTGACTTGACCACGCAAACGGGAAATACGGCCGCATCAATTCAGCAGTGTCAGTAACATCAAACAGAGAGATACTCTACTTTATAAGATAGGGATTCATGGCTGACAGTGCCAGACAGACAGACCAACAGACCGACAGACGCGCGCACACATACGCACCCACACACGGACAGACTGTCTTCTGTATGTTTTGCATGTAGCCATATATTCAATGTATATTCGTGCAAACACGCACTGCAAAGAGTATGAACCTTTATTTTGAAGAGTACAGCGCAAGCATAGGGCAAACTAGCCAATCAGAAGCAAGGAGGCACTGGCGTCCCACCCACCTATGGAAACGAAACATTGAGTGGTATACTTGTTTTAACAGTAAGAAACAGAAAAACTAAAAAACGAGCTGAATTTTCGTTTTGGGGCATACCTTGGTCCTCAACTTGCTGTATTTGAGTAATGATCAGACTAACAACAACATCAACAGGTAGGCCTAGACCACTAATAGTTCAATAACAAGTGCTTTCATTATTTTTTCCAAACGATAAACCATTTATCGAATAGATATTGTCTCTGCTGCACATTGTGATTTATTTCTAAGCTAGCAAACTGAAAGCTGTGTGTAATACATTTCCAGTTTAATACCAGTTATACAGATTCATATTTATATTATCTTTATCTCAGGCTGATAGTAAACTTTATATTAGAGCAGGTGAAACGTGACTGCGTGCACAAAATGGACGTAGAGGATTCCATGGTTGCTATGGTTTGACGCAGGACTAGCGTCAATATCGGATCAATATTTAAACCATAACAACCTGAAAACTACCTGAAGACGGTCACGAAAATATTTTCTCCGCTTTCACTCGACGATTCTTCCAAATTAGCGTTTCTACTCAAGTCTTTTTACATCCCGACAAGAGTCAGAGACCCCCTGAGAGTTATTACAGCGAGAAAACACACTTTAATTATGGAAAATGTAAGATTTCATGACTTTGAAAGTCCCCGTTGTTTCCAATGTGATTTGCCGTCGACATTTTTCAGAAACCTCACAGTTTAGTGATGTTTATCAAATCATTTAGGCTCCTGTAACGCATTAAACACTAACCATCAGATTAAGGTCAAGTTGCTATTGTGACGACTCAATTAATGAATCCATGCATTACAAACTACCAAAAATACACATGAATTCATCAAAACTATAGGCTATGACAATATTAACAAATAAATGTTGTATATATCTAATAATTGAAAGGTGATATAGCCTAGAAAGTTAATATAAATGATTTGTATTACTAATAAAAATCATTTATATTAACTTTCTAGGCTATATCACCCACCCAGCTTCAAGCTGAAATACATTCATATTGTAACTTTGAATGTAGCTAATTAAAGTTATTCTGAAGTACTTTAACTTAGCATTATTTCCATCAGATGTGCAATATTATATGTTCAAACAGTAAACAGACATATGCTTAATATATATAATATTATATACACTTCACATAGGCCTATGCCTCAATAAAGCACAATATTAACTGACATGAGGGCCTAAAGGTGGGTCTTGATTTGTTTCCGGACCTGTCTCGTCTTGAGGAGGTTTTCAGACTTTGATTACACGTTTCATGTTCCTTCATTTATGATTTTTATCCAACAACCACATCCATCTTTGGCAAGTTAATCTTCCAGCACATAAAACTAGTAATAACACATTTGATTTTTATACCACGACATGACAAAATACTTGAAAAAGGTCCATCCTGCATGTACTTGTAGAGCCTCATCCTAACATGAGTGTGTGTTGTTGCAGGGTCGAGTGCCTGTCCTCCCGCAGGACAACCAGACAGGAAGGAGAGTCTCTGCCCGCCAGAGGAGGCCTGCAGTCTGCAGACAGTGTCCCTGCTGCAGGGACGACCAGGTGAGACATCTGATCCCCAACTCTGTTCCTTGAAATTGTACACAGTTTAATCCACAAGATTATTTGACAGGTTTACAAAAAGGCAAACACATAGTGGAATATATTCAATACTAACTTGTTTGAGACTAGACAAGGTCCATTGTACAGGACTAATGCCCCAAATACTCACATTTCAAGTAATCCTCTGCAGTGCATCTGATGTAGATGTTTCCTCTTGTAAAATGATAAAAGTATTTTGTTAAGTAAGAAGTTTACTAGAGTCTGACATCCTCTCGTGTTTTGCTGACCTTCTCCAGGTGCCACATACAAAGCGCAGGCGCCCTGCTGCTTCTGCAGACCTTCCCCAGAAAAGGAAGCAGACCTCCGCTGCTCTTCCTCCTAAACCTGCTGACCTGCCACCTGTCTCTAATGTGGCCCCCAGCCCCCGGACCTCCACTGCTCCTCTGCACCTCGACAACCCTATCAGGATCCACAACCGCTCAGTCGAGGAGTACCAGCTCATCTACCATGAAGTTGTGGATAACATGCTGAGGTACGTTGTGTCACAAATCAAATGAGTCAGTTCATTTACAGAGTTTAGACTCTCTTAGAAATCTATCTCTCTATTTTCCTTCATCATAAAGATTTATTTTGTGTTTCTCCTCTCAGGTTCCCGAACGGTCTCCTGCGTCCATATAGTTTGGGTCTGGGTCGTCGTATCAAGCAGAAGCTGTGGGAGCGACTGGACCGTCCGATGTTCACAGAGACAGTGGATGAAGACGGTCTGGTCCATGTGGACGTGTCCTACGGTGCTGGAGTCCAGCCTCCGCTCTTCAACGTGGATGTTTCTGGTGAACCAGAGCCCGAATATCCACCAGCAAAAAGGGCAAAGCACTAAGACACACTCTCATAAGCTGACATGTCTAAATAACACTGTGCTTTAAATTTAGTTTAGTTTTTTTAAGTTTCATTTGAGTAGTTTTAAGTTTTAAGTATGGCAGTTAAGTTTAAGTTTATTAAGTGTAGAGTTAAGTCTTTAGTGCCAAGCATAAGTATTAAGTGTTAAGTCTTTAGTTTTAAGTATTTAGTCATAAGTATAACTATAAAGTGTTAAGAGTAAGTGTTTAGTTTAAGTTTTTAGTTAAAGTATTTTGTTTGAAGTATTTAGTATTAAGTGTACGTTTTTACTGCTAAGTATAAGTATTAAGTGTTTAGTTTAAGTATTTAGTAATAAGTTTAAGAATGTAGTGTTAAGAATAAGTATTTAGTGTTAAGAGTTAGTATTTAGTTTGAGATAAGTTTACTTTCATTGATCTTAATGTATCTCACCACTGATGAATTGTCTTCCTCTGAATCAGTTCATGCTCCTCTGTTAACAGTCTTCTCAATCAGCTTCAGCCTCAACAGCAACAGTTATCACCTGCCAGAACACCTGCTCCACCCTCCAGCCTCCACCTGTTACTTCTACCAGACAAAACATCAGCCTTGCTCTGCAGCCTGTGAGATGACAGACTCCTCTCCACCTGCAGCCTCTGTCAGCAACCTGCAGCCATCTCCTCCAACTGCACATTCTGTTGAATAGCTGACGGCTGAACCTCCATCTACAGCCTTTGCCAGTGCACCTGTGCCTACACCTCTCGAAGTGAACTGCTATCCGAGCCTCCACCTACAGCCTCTATAAGGAAACCTGCACAGATGTTATCCTACTGCCATTTGGAGACCTGAGTGGAACAGCAAGGACCAGAGAAACACACGCAGATATAGTCCTTCAGTTAATATGCAAAAATATTTCTGTGTTATTAAAGCTGGCTTTCTGTTTACATTCTGTTCACTTGTTCTTCTTCTCACAGGTGTTTTCAAACGTTGTGTGAAAGACTGAGCACACACTCCTCAACATGAACCTGACTGACTGTGATGATGCCTTCATGAAACGAGAGAGTTCCTCTTCCTCCCAAGTTGTACGTACAGTATAGTAGTATGAGATTTCTTAACAGCACACTCTGAGTGTAATGGGATTTTTAATGGAAGTTTGGGGATGAATTATATTTGAATGAAACACCTTACACTTCCAGGTCTACCAGGAGCTGATTCAGGCCCCTGAGGACAACTCCTTCTACAACAGCTCTGTTCCAGAGATGCTTCCTCCTCCTCCTCCTCCAAATCCTCCACCTTCACCACCCCTCCTGCTCATCGCCAGAACTAAGAGTGCCCCACCCCATCTCAGCAACCACCACCAGTTTCTCCTGCAGCCACCGCCTCCACCTGCAGATTCTGACAGCCACTGCTGACAGCCAAATCTCCTCCTACAGCCTCTGCCAGTGCACCTGCGTCTACACCTCTTGAAGTCAACTGCAGCCGAACCTCCACCCACAGCCTCTGTCAGCAACCTGCAGCTGTCACCTCCACCTGCAGATTTTTACAGATCGCTACTGCTCAACCTCCACTGACAACTTTTGTCAGCAACCTGAACCAGCACCTACACCTCTCGTACACTACTGCCATCCAAACCTCCACCTGTAACCTTTGCCAGCCGCCTGCAGACACCTCCTCCACCTGACGATTCCCACAGAAAGCTGGGGTCAAACCTCCACCTTCAGCCTCTATAAGGAAACCTGCACAGATGTTATCCTACTGCCATGGTTGGATCTAAGTGGAACAGCAACGACCAGAGAAACACTGGTAAATATGATCTTTGAGTAAACATGGAAAAATATATCTGTATAAAAATAGCATACCTGGGCTGAGCTGGGCTTCTGTTTACATTCTGTTCACTTGTTCTTCTTCTCACAGGTGTTTTCAAACGTTGTGTGAAAGACTGAGCACACACTCCTCAACATGAACCTGACTGATTGTGATGATGCCTTCATGAAACAGAAAGAGCTCCTCTTCCTCCCACCTGTACGTACAGTATAGCAGTATGAGACATTAAGTAATGGGATTCTTGATGGAAGTTTGCTGATGAATGCTATTTTAATGCAACACCTTTTCTTTGTGTTTTCTCCAGGCCTTGTTGGACTTCCAGATCCAGAGATGCTTCCTCCTCCTCCCTATCGTGCACGTTCACCACCCCTCCTGCTCATCGCCAGAACTAAAAATGCCCCTCCCCATCTCTGCAACCACCAGCACTTTCTACGCAAGCCGATTCATTGAAGTCCAAAGATTGCAGAGACGCTCCACCCGAGACTTCAGTGCCTTACTTTTCCAACAACGCCCCCTAAAACGACGTCCAATGTGCTCTTTTACTGTGTACTTTAAGCCTCTGCACTGTTTTACAATAAATGTTTCATTATCTGCATCAATCAGATCATGTGTCTCTAACTATCTAACAAGTCCTTTTATCTGCATTTATAATTGTTAGTAAATCCTTAATAAACGGTTTTGAGTTATTTCATTTGTATCTCTTATTAATACTTACTTGAATTACAAATCTTATGATTAGTTTGTGTAGAGAAGAGTGCTGTCCTGACAGTATAGTGTTTTATTTTGTATTCATGTTTTTATTCATGTTACGAACTAGATATTTAAAATTCCCTATAGCTCCTTAGTAAATGTATCCATCCAGTGATTTGATATGACACTATTTTGGAAAAGTCACAAATGATTTTGTTTCTTGTGAATATATTGAAACAACTGATCACCCTTTCTTCCATCCTATGCACTCTGAAGCTTTGGCTGGATATCATGACTTGCTTTTCCCAAAGAGTCATGATTTGCTATGAAACGATCCTTTGTGCACAGCACATACTTTTACTTTTGATACTTGAAGCACATTTGGCTGATAATATACTGTGTACATTATATTATTCTGAAATGGTAGTTGTGAAGAATTAGTCATTTTTTAAAGATCATATTATTTGTACTTTTTAAGTAAAATATCTCAGTACTTCTTCCAACACTGTTTATTCCTGTCTTTAGCCTGTTCCTATTTGATTATTTTTTCCTGACTCTGTCACTACGAGGTTGACAATTTCTGTTTTTAGTGACACATTTTGACAATTATTGAATAGATTGGCTTGGAATTTGGTCCATGCCCCCCCTCAGGATGGATGGATTAAGAATAAGTAATCCCTAACTAGGGAACCAGGATTTTTTGTTGATTTTCATTTGACATTTTTTAAGAATTGGGGAATAGGGGGTCAGTTTGCTTGTGGCACAACCTTTCAGTCTGGCAGTGTAGAAATGTAAGTTTCTCATGTTCTATACTGTTTTTATTTCTTTGTAAGACTTTTGTACATTTTACAAGTACAATTCAGTGGCAGCTGTTTTGATCAAGCCAGGTATTGTTTCTAAGGTTTCTCTGAAAACAGCCAGATCCTTGATTTGCATTCATTCTTCATTTTAGATGTGTGTTACCTTTTACAGGAGTTACCTTTAAAAAAATAAATGTATGCTCTTTAAAAATGATCATTGTCTTTATTTCATTATTTACTTATACTGGTTTTATCTTGAAGGATGATTAGAACAAAATGCCAATAATATAATCCCTTGCTATAACCGGCACATCATTTTGAATCGACTGTCCATGGAAGTAATAGTTAATAAATCAGCAGTATGGCACCAATAGTACCACACTCACAAGTTGAGATCCCATTTTAAAAATCAGATTGTCGATAAATCAATTTTCATTGTGAACTACAAGATGGATAATCATTTAATTTTTGAAATGTTTGCAAACTGACTACAGTGAAAGTTGGTGTGTAGCTCCAACACAGGATAAACCTAGACGAGACGGCATACAGAGAGGAGGTCGAAAACCTGACATCTTGGTGCCAGGAGAACAACCTCCATCTCAACATCAGCAAAACAAAGGAGCTGATTGTGGACTACAGGAAGCAGCAGGGAGAGGGACACGCCCCCATCGCCATCAATGGGACTACGGTGGAGAGAGTCAAAAGCTTCAGGTTCCTTGGGGTCCACATCACTGAGGACCTGACATGGTCTCTTCACACCACCACCATCACTAAGAAAGCTCGACAGCGGCTCTTCTTCCTCCGCAGGTTGAGGAGGTTCAAAATGGATTCCAGGATACTCTGCAACTTCTACAGGTGCACGATAGAGAGTATCCTCACTGGCAGCATGACGGCCTGGTACGGCAGCTGCACCGACCTCGATCGTAAGGCTTTACAGAGGGTGGTGAAAACTGCACAGCACATCACCAGGACGGAGCTGCCATCCATGGAGGACCTTTACTCCCAGCGGCTCAGGAAGAAATCACTACGGATTATCAAAGACCCCCATCACCCCAGCCACAAACTGTTCTTTCTGTTGCCGTCTGGCAGACGTTACCGCAGCATCCTGGCAAGGACAAGAAGATTCGGAGACAGTTTCTTCCCGCGGGCAGTGAGACTGTTAAAAAATTGAACTGTTGAAACCAGTGGCGTCGCCTGGCCTGGGCATCCGGGGCTTTAGCCCCGAATGTTTTTTCTGTAGCCCCGGACAATTCTCCCTCAATAATATAATACATTAACCGTGCTTTACGTGAACCTCATCATGACACAAGAGAGGACGGCAGCACTGTAATTTCCCGTGTTCAGTGAATGCAACAGAGGCATGACACCAGACCAATCAGAGAGTTGCATAGAAATAAACGTGTGTCATTCAAGCTCGGCTCTGTGTGTGTGTTTGTGGCAATAGCGCATGTGAGAGAGAGAGAGAGAGGGGGAGGGAGAGACCGGTGTCAGCATGGACCGTGTTGTTAGCATCTGGTTAGCTAGCTGCACTAACGGACATAAGGAGCTGTTTGTTCCACAAGAAGCTGGAGGAGAGTCCTCTCCTCTCAGACTGAGAGACTCAGGTGAGCTAAAGGACTCTGAGTGTTTAGATAGTTAACTTTAGTCTAAGTTATCTCAGTGGGTCTCAAACGGTTTGGTCACAAATTATTCAAAAGATTATTTCTGCGGCACACCTTCATATGATCATTATAGTTATTAAAAAAAAGAGAATAAAGGAAAAACAGTTATGAAATACTATATGGCAGTAAAACAAGAATAGAGTTTAAAAGGGGAGTGATTAGTAAAATATCCATAAAGAAAAAGTACATCTGTTTACAGTTCTGCTTCATATGGGTGTTGAGAGAGGTATCCATAGATCTCTTCATTTTGCTCTCAAAGTGCACCAGATTGATGCATTTAACTTCAATATTTAAAAAAAAAAATCTTCCCGGGGGAGCATCCCCCCGGACCCCCCACGAGGAGGTGAGCCCCCCACTCATAAAAAATACCACTTTACCCCTGCCTATATGCCGTGAGCTGATTATCGAGCCTTCATTGTAACAGTCGCGGGTGTACTGTGTGTGTGCGTGTGGGGAGTGTTGCAGTGAAAAATGCCACTGTAGTGCCGCCGCCACTGTGGGCTAAGCCCCGAATGTTTTCAGGTCCAGGCGACGCCCCTGGTTGAAACAACTTCAAACATTCAACTGCTACTCAGTAGTATGTATCTAATACCTAATATATATATATCATTCCAATAACTTGTATATAGACTCATATTGCACTATTCCACATCATAACTTTATTTCATTTTTATAACTATTATTATTTTTGTATTGCTCTTGCTCTTATTGTTATTATGTTATGTTATTATGTTGCATTGTTGGAGAAGCCTGTGACATAAGATTTTCAACTGCATAATTACTCTGTAGCTATGTCAGATTGACAATAAAGAACCTTGAACCTTGAACCTTGAACCATTTGATCTTTGTAGTAACTCAGCCTATCCTCTGGCGCCACCCTCTGGACAAACTATGTCTTGCTTCTGTTTTTGTGATAGAGAAGGAATTACATTTGTTTGTTGTTACAAATACTTTCAGTTGAAACAGATTCCTGGTGACAACATTGTTTGGAAGTAGTTCAGCTTTAACACATCACTGAGGGTAAAGTATGTCACAGAACACAGGATTATTTAATAGAGGTGTTTTCATTGAATTCAACATCAAAGCAGTCACGTGTATATCATGGGGTGCTAGATGTTGACCGCTGTGGATCACACTGGTTGTGTTGTTCTTGTCCAGTGGCGGTTCTAGAACATTTGACATGGGGTGGCAAAGGGGGGGCAAGAGGTCATGCCAGGGTGGCATGGGAGGGCGGACAGTACGTGGTATTTTATACTGTATATATAACCTATCTATTGTTAAGTCATGCCCTAACACAAGTGTTCTTAATGCACAAGAGAAACAAGGTGTTCAGACAAACAAACTAACATATAGTATAAAACAGCAGAAAGTACTCATGATACCCTAGAATTCTGCTTACTGTAAGTACAGTAAAAGTACTTTGTTATAATGAAGTACACACTTCATCTTTATTCCTCACATACATTTCTTCTTCTTCACTAATGTCTTCATCTCCTCCTGGCTTCCTCCTGCTCTGACCCTCCTGGTCTCTTCAGTGAACTCTCTTTTCCTTTTCCTCTATCTGTTCATCCTGATCACTTCTCAGATATGTCTTTTTGTTGTTGTTGACTTACTCCAGCTACTCTGGCCTGCAAGAGTCTACTTGTGAAAAGCACTGGTACAAAATGCTTGTATAACTTTACACGTTAGGGCCAGCTAATAAGCAGGGCCGTCCCTCCCTACAGGCCGATCATGCAGACTGCGTGGGGCCTCATCTTGCGGAGGGGGCCTCATCTTGCGGAGGGGGCCTCATCTTGCGGAGGGGGCCTCAACTGAGCCGAAAATGCGGCGCACCCATGCGCTTATGCGGTGCAATTAGTGTGGCGCTGCACGGTTTCGCCGCTGCGTGGCTCCACTAGCATGAGGGAGGGGACAGACTGAGTGATGATGAACACTGTGCTTTGTTTCAGGAGGAAACTCAGTTATTCAATCAGGAGAGACGGTGATGATGTAAGAATACATATTTATTGCCAGGAATACACAAATGAATGTGATGGAGTTTTGGCGATTAGGCCCCGTTGTGCAGGAGTATCATTCTGGAGGGGAGAACCGATCCGATGAAACCCCCCGGGGTCTAGACACTGGTGGTGGTGAATGGATAGTTGGGGTCGGTCTGAAGGGGAGTGGCTTAGCTTGACCCTGGATTCAGAGGGACAGGAGGTGAAAAGGGGTGGAGGAGGGTTGCGTCGAGTCACCTGAAATGACAGCTCTTAGAGGGGGGAGCAGATTTAAAAGGGTTAGCGGAGCGCTATGATAGGCTTGTGAGAATAGAGCGAAGTGATTGGTTAAGCTGGGGAGTGACGCCCCCGATCACTTATTGAGAGGAGAGAGAGTAGTAACATGGAAATAGTAAATGAATGAGTAAAGACGGTCTTCCTGGTTGAACTTGCGCTGAACTTCATTTAGTCTCAGATCACTTCCACATGTTCTCCATCAGCTTCTTATGGCACCTTGGACACAATACAAGAAGAACATCCTGTTTGTTTTTGAAAGACA